CAAATTGCAAGATCCAAAGGACACTATAGTGGAGAGGCAACTACGTGCCATGCATCAATTGGTGAGGGCATGGCCGGCTAGCCATCTCGGGGACTTGAGGACAGCCTGGCGCATCTCCTGGAAGAGGTTGACAGCTGCAGCCTATCCTTGGATGGTGGTGGCAGGACCAATGGCAGCTTTGCAAGCCTACCTCATTGACATGGGATGGGAGGCAGCTGACATGGATGACTGGATTCGGGCACCGATGGGCAACTGGCCAACTCACCAGCTCAACCTTGCCTTTCCATGGCCGCATCTTCAGCGTCAACTGCATTTGGAACAGCAAGTCCAGAGGGCCAGAAGAATCCAAGAGCTGGAACATTGCTTTCCTATGATGCGAAAGCCTGACTGGACGGTGTTTCATCAAGTGATGAAAAAGCTGAAAGGAGCCACCAGATCGGCAGTTGCGGCCTGGACCCAAGGTTCTCTGAGAACGCATGGAGGGGGAGAGAGAGCCATTTGTCCTTTATGCGGTGTACGGGTCACCATGAAGCACCTCATCTGGGAGTGCTCCTACCATGAACAACCCTTGCCGGCGGAATGGCAGCATCTCATCCAGGCCAATGAGCATGCCATGCTGTGGGCCAGAGGTCTCATTGAGGAGCCAGAATACATGCCTCAAGCTGGGATGGACTCTTTGGAGGTGCATGGGGTCTACGCACATGGTTGGCCTGTCCGGCTCCCACCCAATCAGCGGTTGGCAATTGGGGTGCATCCAACCTGCAAAGATGGCAGAGTCAAGAGGTATGCAGTCGCCCTCACGGCTGGCACATGGCAGGAGGGATCCTGGCAAATCACCGGAGCGTGCACATGCTTGGCGCCTGGCACAGCCACAGAAGCACGGGCTTGGTTCTATGGTTGCTGGCTCCTGCTTCAGTCGACTTTGGGGCGACACCAAGTCAACCTGGCTTACCGCCCTGGATGGGCAGGTGTCCACAAAGGGGCCGAGGGTGCCACGGCCCCAGACCTCTGGCACAGCATTGCAGAGGGTGAATGGGACAGACTCACTGTCTTGCACGTGCCTCCAAAGATGCTCAAGCAATCTGGTGCGGATCAGCGGGTGTGGCTCCAATATCAAGCAGCCCGGCAATGTGCCCGAGCTAGAGCCATAAGAGATGAACCTGCAGATCTTGTTGCGCAGCTGAAAATGGAAGATGAGTGGCACAAGGAGGTCTATGAAGTGGCCGCAGAGCGGATCAGTGCCATCCTCACTGATCCTGACCACTACATGAAGGACAAGATCACCCCTGTTGAAACGGCTTTCAAGGTGTCACAGAGCAGGCCAAAGGGTAGATCAGAAATCCTGCGGCAGATGGTCAACCGCCCCAAAGGGCCAGGAGAGCACTCATGGCAATTGAAAGGTCATGGCATCCAATGCAGCCAGTGCGGCTTGCATGTCAAGAGTTGCTCTACTCATGCCCAGATAGAGGCTAAGCAAGCCACTTCGTGCCCTGGAGAGAAGGCAAAGACTCTCCAAATGCTCATGGACGAGATGATCGCAGCCTCTGACCAGCTCCCTGACATGGTGGAAGGGCACCGCTTCTACTGCAAGTCAAGCACTTTTGGATGCAAGCGGTGTTGGATGAAGGTGGCCAGGAGATGCAGTAAGGATGTGTTAAGCAACCTGGCGGCCACCAAGTGTGTTTTTGGTCCAGTAGATGAGCAAGCCTTACATCTCAGGACAAGAGTTCATCCACAGCATCAGTTGGTACAAAGGCAGCAGTGGCTTGAATGTCAAAGGTGCCTTAAGCACACGAAGATTCAAGAAGGGCGAGTTCAGGCGTGGGTGGCGCAGGAATGCCAAGGAGCGAGCTCGCAGAAGAAGCTATGCTTTGCGCCCACGAGCTCTAGCAGCTGAGGCCTTGAATGTCCTTTGAAGCCAAGCTTGAAGCTGGCGGATGGCAACTTACAAGGCGAACGATCCTTGAGTTGCAGGCCATTTTTGTCAAATGGTGTGGCCTTGCTGGCGAGATGGAAAAGAACCGAGCAAAAAAAAAACACACACACAAAACGAAAATAACAAAAAACAGAAAGACAAACATAACAAAAGAAAAAAAAGAACAGAACAGAACAGAAAAGAAAACAAGTAACAGAAAAGAACACAATAAAGGAAGAAAGGAACACAGAAATACAGAACAAAAGAACGAAATATCACAAAAAAGCAAAGTAAGAGAACATATATCATATAAACATAAAGAAAACTTGGAAAACAGAAAGAACCAAACAGAAAAGAAACAAAGAACAAAACCACATATAAGGAATCCATAATAGAGACACAATGAAACATCATGAAACACAACAACAAACACCGAAAGGCAAAACAGGAAAAAACAAGAGAAAGAAACAACCAGAAAGAAAAAACAAACATAAAAAACAACAAAAGACAACCACACAACACACATTAAACAAAACATAATAACAACAAACATACAAAAAATATGGAACCACAAAAACAACACACACAAAATACAGAAACCAACAAAAGTATATAAAGGAAAACACAACAACACATAAAAGGAAGGAAGGAAGGAAGGGAGGGAAAGGAAAAGCAAGTTTAGCTGAGACTTGTCACGAAAACACAGTTTCGAGGCAACAACCTGAAACGCAACTCACGAAACGCTGCACCTGCAAAGGAATTCACGCTTCACACTCGAGACATCACATTTGTATTCTATTTCGCATGCGCCGGACACTTCTGCATCCATCGAAGAATCGACAAGACCCGGGATACAAAACCACAGGTCCAACCTGCAGACCGATCGCAGACTATACATTGGAATCCTTCGCTACGCTTTCGGGAAAAGAATTTGGGACACTTGTTTTATTGTTTTCCGCCTTCCCCACGACCTGAAAATGTGTATTGTTTGAACTGTTTTCAACATGTTCATCTGTGTTTAAATGCTGTGGGTGCTCCTGCTATCAAACTTAGTCTAGATGAGCAAAGCAATTGCAAAAAGCAGCCATGTGCAAAAACTTTTTTCTCTGACAACACTTTTGGTATGAACTGATATGATACATAAACGAACTTGCATGCTGCTCAGTAAACACCAAAAAATTGAACTGCCGCAGCCTGCCGAATTCAAACAATGGCGACATTGTACTATGTGCAGCGGCTCCACGCTTTCTGGTCTATGCCAACTTAGCTTTCCGCGATGAGTCCGTTTGCGGGCTGAAGCTCTTTTGTTGGTGTTTTTTCCCCAAACAGTTTACTGTTGAGGTTCTGTCTTTGAAAAAAATAGGCCGCGCCCCTGAACTCTGTGGCTGGTCTCTGTGGCCCGGCTTACTGGAGAGGAGTGTGGCCGAACAAATAGCGATGTCAATGCCGACAAAAATTCATTGATGAAGTTTGCTCTTGGGGTGAAGGCAGGGCGTACCAAGAAATCGATTTTTTACTAATATTGGTCTAAACGAATCGTTTTGAAGCTGTTTGGGGTCTATGCTTGTATAATTCCCCACATCTTAGTGTGGGGTTCTTCTTTTCCATGTCTCATCCGCCTCCCGCCGCCCGCTTCCCGCCGCCTCCCTCCACACCGAGACAACAACACACACACAGAGACAACACACACACAGAGATCACACACACAGAGATCACACACACCGAGACAACACACACAGAGATCACACACACCGAGACAACACACACAGAGATCATCCTCCCTCCACACCGAGACAACACGTACAGAGACCACACACACACCGAGACGACACAGACAGAGATCACACACACAGAGATCACACGCACCGAGACAACACACACAGGGATCATGTGCAGAATTCGTGGCAGGCAAAGCACTTTGTGAACCTCCATGCTCCGTTAGAGGCTGTGGGTGTTGCGTTGTCTGCGGTTGTCTGCGGTTGTCGGCGGTGGTCGCCGGTCCGTCCCTCCATTGTGATTAGAGTATTCACTTGTTTGTTGACGCGCAGAATTCGTGGCCGGCGCAGCACTTTGTGAACCTCCACGTGCAGAATTCGTGGCAGGCGCAGCACTTTGTGAACCTCCATGCTCGGTTAGAGGCTGTGGGTGTTGCGTTGTCTGCGGTTGTCTGCGGTTGTCTGCGGTGGTCGCTGGTCCGTCCCTCCATTGTGATTAGAGTATGCACTTGTTTCTTGACGCGCAGAACTCGTGGCAGGCGCAGCACTTTGTGAACCTGCATGTGCAGAATTCCTGGCAGGCGCAGCACTTTGTGAACCTCCATACGCAGAATTCGTGGCAGGCGCAGCGCTTTGTGAACCTCCATGTGCAGAATTCGTGGCAGGCGCAGCACTTTGTGAACCTCCATGCTCCTGGCTGTTGCGTTGTTTGCGGTTTTCTGCGGTTGTCTGCGGTGGTCGCTGGTCCGTCCCTCCATTGTGATTAGAGTATGCACTTGTTTCTTGACGTGCAGATTTCGTGGCAGGCACAGCACTTTGTGAACCTCCATGTGCAGGTTGCACTCCGTCAGAACCTCCATGTGCAGATTGCAGTCCGTCAGATTGCGCTCCGATTTCGTGGCAGGCACAACGCAGATTGCATGTAATACTCCTGACGACGCCCAGGTTCACGAACACGACCTGCTTTCGTCTGCGCGATTCAATAGAGCTTGGCTATAGGGTTACGTCGGCAGAGCGGTGGGGTTTTACTTCGGCTAGTTGTGGCTGTACACACATGTCTGCACAATACCTCGTACATCCGCCGTGCACATTACTCTCCCACACCTCTCTCCCACCCCTCTGTTGTGTAATTCTGATATAACTCCTGGCAAGGCCATGTTGTAGAAGTTATTGAGACTCTGACTGCTTTGTGCTTTAGAAACTTAAGACTCGTAAAGACTCATATGTGGGGCTATCCGGTCCTTTGTTTGAAGGTGTTTGAATGTGGGGCTATCCGGTCCTTTATTTGAAGGAGTTTGAATGATGATATTCCAATAATATCCAATCTATTGGTCGTAACTTATAACTTTCCTGTGCTTGGGCTGCGTGAGGACCCTGAACAAAGCCCAGTGCGTGCTGGTGGGGCATTCCTTTCCATGGTTGCAGCTCTGGTCTTGGTACTGTTGCCTGTGCAGGCTGGGAACTGTTGAGGTATTTTGAGCCCAAAAAAGCAAACAGTGTGGCGCTGCTGCTAATGAATGCATCTAAGACTTTTGAACAGTGTTTTCAGTGTTTTCGAGGAGGCGCAGGCTGCACGATCTGGGGGCCGAATCGGCGGCACTGCCAGCGCTGCCCGCAGCAAACCACCTCCTCGAGCGCCAGTCGCTAGCAGCAGCAGCAAGACCGACAAGACAAAAAAAAGAGCAGCTGGACAGATATTTCATTTAGAGATGATTTCCTGAAGACTTCCAAAAGAGATCTCTGAAGATTGACATTTCTCAGATGACGTGATGAATGCGGAAGAATGGGATCACTCTCCACTGACATTGCAGGACAACAGTGATCAACAAGACCACTGTGATCACTCCCCCACCTCCAGTGGTTGCGGCGCCTCCTATTGGGATGGGTATGGGAGTTGGCTTTGCACCTGCCCCTGCACTACCCTTAGCGATTCCGCCACTGACATTCAGAATGGCCCGAAATTGCACACAGCGAGACGTCCCAGACACATGAGGTAGTTGTCGCGCCTCCACCGACCCTTGGCGATGTTGTGGTTGGCACGGTCATTGGAGGTGCCATCAACAATGCTATTACTGGAGGCCGGGGGCCTGTAAAGCAGAGTCCGATCCCCAATCGCCTTTTTCTGATTTTGAGTCTTAAGACTCAACTCCAGTCCACATCGTGAACATGCAGGCCACCACAGCGGGCCAACGAGCACTGACAGGCTTTTGGAGAACCAGCAGCGTCAGGACACACGAGATCTTGCCAGTGAACTTGCACGTCAATGAATGGGGACTTTCAATATCTTTAATCTTCCTGCTTCCGTTTGAAATCTTGGGTCGCACGAAGTTTTTCTTTGAGCTTAAGCCAGGACGAGCGCCAAATGGACAATCAGCAGCGGGAGATCGAACTTTTGAAGTCCGAGATCCAGAACTTGAAGTCCACCAAGTGAGTGGAAGAACTTGGAGACGTGTAGAGAGTCCTTTCAAGAGACTCCAGAGGTCACTTGAAGGCTTGGAGACGCAAAAACTTCAGAGGCCACTGGGGCAACAGGCCGTTGGCCAAAGTGGGAAGGGATGCCATTGCTGCAGAGGCCATGTCGGTCTCACAGTTTTCCATTTTTGCATTTCCACTGGGAACGTTCAATCAGAGCATACGCATGTTCGATCAAACTCGAAGGCAATAGAAAACGCTGTTGCGAACCTTGTGGAAGTATGGAAATCTCGACAAAAACAATTCTCTGCGCTGCCAACACTATGCAGCGCTCCGTTCCTAATTCTGGTGGCTCCCATGCAAGCCAGCAGGCTTCTACAAGGAAGCTCATGCATTTGGTGTGCTTTCGTTCAATTGGTCCAAGCAGATGGCCGATACTGCCTATACTCCATTTCGTGATCGTCAATCACGCAAGAACCAGTCCGCATGATGGAACACCTTTGCACGCTTCTCTTATTCTTTGTTCAGCTGGCCTCTGTGGACCCTGTAGAGCACCCTTGTTCCCTTGGATCACCATACCCAGGGATCTTTCGAAAAGACTATGATGCAAGGAGCCATAGGCCGAAACAATTGCTAGCTCGCGGCATTCGCGAGAGATTGTGTTCTCTTGCGATGTGTAGTGTTCGAAGTTGGTACTTGTAGTTCAAACTTCTGATTGAGTGATGCAGCATGTTTGAAGACACTGTTTTGCATTCTGCGGGACGAATGCTGGTGCAAGACATGCACTTATCGCACGATGAGATAGTAAAGTAAAGCGAAAGGATAGCACAACGATAGCATTTGTCCAGCTCATGTTAAACCTTGGGCTCGACAGCTTAAAGATCAGCATAGCCAACATTGTATTGGTTGTTTTGAGAGTTTTGAGCCTATTGAGTCCTATTGAGGTGATGTCTATGTCAACGATGCCTTTGGAACGGCCCACCGGGCTCATTCGCCTGTGACTTAGTTTCGCACAGAGTTCAGGGCATGGGAGATAGGTTTGGCAACGAAGTGCGCTAGTTTGATTGCAAACATGACATGCCCAAAGCGTAAACTAGGTATGTGAACGAGTTCATTGCTAAGGTCCATGGTGGGTTGCAACTTGCCTGAAAAGGTCAGTGGCCAAGGATGATTCTATCCCTGTTCTATACGACACAATGGGTGCTTGCACTTGTCCTTTTCCACGTATCACAACGAAATTTTCTTACAGATCAAGCAGCCCTTGAACAGAAACATGCACAATGGATGGACAGATGAAGATTCTATATACCTGAACCACAATCCACAAACTGAACCTTGTATGCTCTAGCCGCTATAGCCAGTATTTAAAGAGGTATATGTTACGCACACACACCCACCTGCCTGCTCAAGAATCTAATCTATAGGTACTAAGTACTATATAAGTATGTATATATATATATATTATTACTATTATTATTGTTATTATTATTATAGTATATCTATATAAGTATTGTGTTCTTTACAATGGAACGGACTTTTGAACGGCCTGCAAATTTGACCTGGGATGAGATGACATACAAGGACAAAGATGGACTTGGATGTTTTGACTGAAGCTCACAACACAGGCATTTTCTTGTCATTTGTGCATTGTATTTGTTTGGATCAGATTTCTCAGCACTTCTCCGTGGGGTAGGTGATGGTTGGCAACTGGAACAACAGTAATTCAAGGAAGTCTTGCAACATTGGCCAGCTCAAAATGGCACACTGGACGCCAGTTTTCACCTTTTTATTTCAACATCCTAGACTAGGGTGTGGGGGAAAAGTGCCTTTGCTCCGACTAGAACGTATGGCAGCACGACAGCCCTCTGTTCTTTTTAGCACCAGGTGAAAAGTTGCAGAATGGCCATTGCTGTTTCCTTGCAAAGTGAACTTGAGCGTTGAATGGCCTAGGTTGCTGGTTTGCTCATTGAGAAGGAGCTAAGGGCCTTTTCGCAAGTGCTGTGCAGGCCTTAACGCCGCAGTTCTAGTAAGAGCTTATCAGCAAAGATTGCAGCACTGTAGCATTTTCTTGAGAGGGTGCTTTCCCACCATTGAAGAAAGAAGAGACTTCAGTGTTAAGAACCGCACCTCCCACGCCCTCAGGTCCGGCACAAAACCTGCCGACCGACTGCATACCCCACCAACTTAACCAGCCGCTGCAAAACCGAGGCTGACAAATCAATTATATAATCGGAAGAATTATCATGTAGTAGGGTGAACACTTAAGAAAAGACAACCATGCACAACCATGGAATAGAGTGACCTGCTTTTAGCGATATCAACCTAAGAAGTGTTTGGTAACTCTATAGACAATTCAATCTCATCCCCATGCATACTACGCGCAAGCGCTTGTGTTTTTTTAAGATGTTAATTGTTGATTAGTTAGTAAGCACCCTCTTCAGCCACAGCATGCCACAACCATGTTATTCACCAATCAGCAGCGTCACTTGATCAGGGTTGTTTGCACAACACAACACAATACAGTACTGTTAAGATGCGACAAACAAAGAAGCCTTCTGCAAACTTGGGCCAGACAACAGACTTGCTCAAGCGACTCCGCCCAAGGACTACGCCAGCTCGCCCATTAGTTGCAATTGTTGGTGGTGCCAAGATCAATGACAAGCCAAAGCCCTAGTTTGCCACAAGAAGATGAGTGTGGTATATTCACATCTCTTAGCAACACCTGAGGATCAAGCTGATTGAAAACTTGATTGACAAAGCAGACGGCATCATTATTTGTGGGGGGCATGGCCTACACCTTCTTGAAGTCTCTCGGCGAACGTGCAGAGAAGTGGCCCCATATAACTTCAAGACGGCTCCTTTTCACTGTTGCTTCCTCCTATAGGCAATGCTTTGGAATGCAGATTGGCTGGGAACTTGGAGATGAGAGCCATGAATGATGAAAAAACACACACTGGCTGCGCCAAGGTAACAGCCTCTTTGACAAGAAGGGCCAGTGCCCAAAGTAGACCATGGGTATCGGCGATAGCGGTATCAAACAGTAGGAGGGGCAACCTGTTCTTCAGCAACTCTGTTGAGGTGCCGACATTGTCCAGGGTATGCTAGACAAGGCCAAGGAAAAGGGCTGTGAGGCAGGGACCGAAAACGAAAGAAGTGAGTTGCCCTTTGTGTTGTTTAAATAACAGCAGATCAGCACCTCTATGGTGCCACCGACTTTGTTCTCCACATGCTGATGTTCAGCTTGTAGGATAGCGCCGCCATAACTATTTACACTCATTAAAGCCTTTTGCAGTTGCTTTGGTTGAGGTGACTCTGCCCATTGACTGGTTGTGCGGCAAAGAGTTCAAGAATGATCAGGACAAGAGGGGCTTTTCCCGCCATGTGCAACTTCCTGACTCGGATTTGAACAGAAATCCAGGAACCAAATGAATAGAAGTGTGAGCTATCCTGCATCCAGTACCTAATAGCCACCAACTGGCTTATACCGCTGACCTCTTACGGCCTATCCCCCCGCACTAAAAACCAAAATAGACAAAAGAAACAACACACAATTCTGGGTTTGAGCTCGTGTCCTCCCGCCGTAAAGACTGTCATTCCCATGGCTATGCCGCTTCACGGGGTCGCGGTTCTCCGTGAGCAACTCCAGTCGTTGTAGGTGTGCAGGAGTATCTCCTGCATGGCTTGGTCGTTTGTGTCTCAGGTGTGGTGCTTCGCAACTCCGTGGTCGTGTCAGCGTGTTGTGCGTAACTTGGTTCCCTAGTGTCTCTCTGTTTGCGCTGTGGCTGGGTCTGGGTGGATTTCTTGTTCTGTCATTGTGCCTGTTCTGCATCACCCCCCAGACCCCCCGAGCTAAACCAGAACCCTTCACCATGCGCCTCGCGAAAAACATGCAATCTACTGTAGGTGTTTGGGTTCATGCTCGTGCAATTCTGTAACCAAAAGGGTTCCCACAGAGCAGTTTATTTTCCAAAAGGAGTTTGCAGTGAGCATTTCTTTTGCCATTGCTATACACGATTTTTCTTGAAGCTTTACAGTAAGCCAAACTGCGAAAGTGTTTGCCGAATGCTAGACCCAATTTGTGACGACTCAGCGTATTGCGAATGAGCGAAGAGATGCAGCGCTTCTCTTCTCACAGGAGACAAAGCTTGTCACGCAGGAAGAGGGCATTCCTGATGGTTGGGAAGGCAGCAAAGCAGGAAATCCGCAAGCCCTAGATTTAGATGACTCGAAAACAACAGCAACCTTCTTGCGGGTGTGAAGTGATGCAGCAGGTATGGATTGCGGACCAAAGAGCTTGCTTCTGAGCCACCAGCCACGGTGAGACTGCTTCTTTGTAATGGCTGCATCAGATGGCATCAGACAAAGACTCCTTTCATTTATTTTGCCGTTTTATGCCGTTTTAACATATTGAGGGTAACATGATGAAGGTGTGAATTGCATGTGAAGGATGAAAAGACATGACTTTCTGCTTGAGGCATGGAGCTTTTTGCCAGCAAAGTGAAGGCAGCCAAGACGGCATGGCCCCCAGAGCCAAGGAGTGAAACCCCTTTTCGGAGGTGCAGAAGCAAAACCAGGTGTTCAAAGATCAATTCACCTGCTCTTGAATCTTGTGCGGCAAGGTCGTTTGGAACGGACCTGCTGGCGTCTTCGAATTTGACAACTTCTCCAAGGGAACAAAGGCTCTCGATTGCAACATGATGATCTGATATGAGAGCGTGTGTCACGCAGGTATTCAGTTGAAATATCGGGATGGGTCACAACCTGCAGCCCCAGTCCACCATGTAACTTGACCTTACAGGTAGGTCAACCAAGGTCTGGTTTTGACCAGCAGCCATATGTTGAAATAGGTGAGAACGCACGTCGTTGTTGTTGTTGTTGTTGGCTGCTGATGTTTTCTGGCTAGGCATTGCTGGAAGCAGTGGCAGACCTTCATGCTTCAGGTCACATCAAAGAATTTCCAGTTGCGTTGCAGTTTGTGGCAGCTAGTGATGTGCGACATTGGTGATGGCAGGTGGTGTGGGCATCATTGGTGGTGGTGACTCTGCAACTGCAGCGGCCAAGTGGGGCATGGAGGACAGCATGAGCGCTGGCTATATTATAGGCTATGGCTTTTCTCGACTGGCATCAAGCAGTGTTGGATTCAAAGGTTGTAAATCTTTGGTTCAAAGGTTTTGAGAGACTCAGCGTCCTATCAATCTTCTATTCAGATTCAATCACGGCTCCTCCGAGGACAAGGTCTCTTTTGTCTCAACTGGTGGTGGTGCTTCCCTCGAGCTGCTTGAGGGCAAGGTCTTGCCCGGCATTGTCAGAGGCTTAGTGTCGAGAATGAGCCATAGTGCACATTGCACATCACACAAGGCTAGCAATACACACAGACACTGATAAATACACACTTGAATAATGTAAACTGTACACAGATGAGAGGATTTGTGTACTCTGTGATGTGGTATGCAAAGTACTAGTCTCACCTGCTACTGGTCTGGCACGCCACACATCAATCTTTATTGGCTTGACCGATGCACTTCAGTCACAGGTGAAGCTTATATAGTCTTGGCCTGGGTTTGCCTTGTCATATTTTGTCTGGTTCACTCTTAGGTTTTTAAACTGAATCAGGTTCCACGAAGCCGAGTCCAAATCCTTGGAAATCCGGAACTGGAGATCAACTTTGGTTTTCTTGCGCAGTTCTTGGTTGGACGGGTTTTGTTTTTTTTGCTGCGTCATTTGCTGGTGCACCATATTATATGGTCCGAAGCGACTTCATTGAACCAACCAGTTCCACATCCTGGCATATTGTGCTGATCCGGTGCTGTCAGATTCGTGCATCTTGACATCTTGACATTCATGCTTTGTTCACGCACGAAAAAAAGATCAAATGACGAACAATGATGAACAATGATTGCATTCCCCTGCAAAATGCAACTTCCAAACCTTCCCTGCCGAGGAGACCTCCGGCGAAGAAATGCACCATATCATGTATGAAGTCTGTTTGCAAAGGGTTTGAACAACACCTGCAAAAGGCGCGCGTAACAACTTTAGACCAAAGGACATCGAGCAGTTCCGTTCTTTTCATGCTTCTTATATGCAACTCCCATCCAGGTTCTGAGTGGATCCCTGCTGGATGCAATCCTATCGAGACATGTCCTTGTTGCCAACTATGCTTGAAGGGGTTCAGTCCCACGTGTACGTGTGTGTGTGTGTGTGTGTGTACGCCTTTTTCTGTGCGAACACATACTGTATATCATTGATCTGTGTTTAAGATGGGCTTTAAAGAGACGAATAGGCTATAGTAGAGACATGTTTTTAGGCTTGTTTTGTTGTCTCTGACAGGATGCACTTGCGAATGCACCTGCCAAATGGGAGGCTGAGATTCGAGCTTTTCGAGTCTTCACGAGTCAATCAAAAACTGAACTTGTCCAGTTTTCACTTGTGAACTTGTGACCCAGTGAGCGGCAGGGCACGGTGACGGGAAAATACCAGTGGGATGACAAGAAGAAGTCGAATACTGATGCAGACAAGGCCCGCAACGGCATTGCAGTGTATCTTGGCAGTCGCTCTCCCGCCGGCAGTATTTAAGAGGCTTACGCCTGACAGCCGGGCGCCGGCCAAGCAGGGTGAGGGTTTGTGTTAAACGCGCGGACGATGAGGGTGTGCAGGGCTGAGTACTCGCTCTCTTTCTCTGTCGCTTTGTCTTGGTCTTTTTCATCCTCTCTCTCCCTTTTCGCTGTCTCCGTCCCGTCTCTCTCTTCCTCTTTCTGTGTCTCTTGCTGTCATTCTCTTTCTCCTTCTCTTTCTCTTCTCTCTCTCTGTGTTTCTCCTTGTCCCCTCAGTGTTTGCCTCGGTCTTCGTCCCTGTCTCCGGTATTTGTCGGTAGTTGTCTCTGTCTCTACCTCTGTGTCGACTAAAAGGTTGTGGGGGAGCATCGCTCTCCCACCCTCGCGCAGGACGGGGGCCGGGACTTCGGGCGTCCGGGTCGCATCCTTCTCGCGAAGGAGGCTGACCGCCCGGGCGTATACCGAGTATACGCCGAAGTCGGGAGAGCCGTCTTGCACATTTCCTGCCATCTCTCTCTCTCTCACTCTCTCTCTCTCTCTCTCCTCTCTCCCTCCCCTCTCTCTGTCTCTGTCTCTGTCTCTGTCTCGGTCTCTGTCGGTCTCTGTCTCTGTCTCTATCTCTGTCTCTGTCTGTCTCTGTCTCTGTCTTCTCTGTCTCTGTCTTCTCTGTCTCTGTCTCGGTCTTCTCTGTATCTGTCTTCGCTGTCTCTGTCTCTCTCTCTCTCTCTCTCTCTCTCTTTGTCTCTTTCTCTCTCTCTCTCTCTCTCTCTTTTTGAGACTGTGTGGGGCTTATGTGGCCCGTCTTGGGGCTATGTTTCCCATATCTGAGAGCTAGGGAGGGTCATCTTCGCTGTCTCCCTCTCTCTCTCTCTCTCTCTCTCTCTTTCTTTGAGACTTGGTGGGGCCTATATTGAGCAAAGTTAAGCTATCTGGTGCGCATCTTGGCCCTAGGTTGGGCCAAGTTGCGCCCATGTGGTCTATGTTGGGCACATCTTGGGCCCAAGTTGAGCCTATGTTGGGCCTAGGTTGGGCCTATGTTAGGCCTATGTTGGCCTAGGTTGGGCCTATGTTGGGCCTATGTTGGCGTATGTTGGCCCCATGTTGACCTATGTTGGCCCTATGTTGAGCCATCTTGGAGGCTATGTTGGGCATATGTTGGGGATATGTTGGCTATCTTGGGCCTATGTTGGGGATATGTTAAGCAACTTATGTGCCCAACACCCACGAAATGTCGATTAAGCCTGTCCGCGCGGCACGCATAACTGACACCACGGGCTCCCTGTTAGGCGCAAGTCATGTCCGCCGAAGGCCACGAAACACTGTAAAAAACGATGTTTTTGAACATTTTTCGAACATCCAGCGCAAGATACATATAAATCTGTCGGGCGGATTCGGGCGGGGGTCGACCGGGGGTCGACCGGGGGTATACCGGGGGTCCAACAAAAGGGTCGGCGGCAGGGGCGGCGAGCGTATATAACCTTCGGTTACCAACCGAAGGCCTCCGGCAAGGGAACGTGCGCGTGGCCGGCGCCCGGATTTACCAGGCTACCGCCTGCAGCCGCCGACCCCCAAGGGATAGAACCTTAGCGCTAGCCTTGCTCTATGTTAGCCTTAGCCTTAAGCCTTAGCCTTAGCCTTGCCTAGCCATAGCCTTAGCCTTAGCCTTAGACTTAGACTCAGACCTTACTTTTTTACCTTTCCGGATCCGGGGTTTGTTGATAGAACCTTAGCGCTAGCCTTGCTCTATGTTAGCCTTAGCCTTAAGCCTTAGCCTTAGCCTTGCCTAGCCTTAGCCATAGCCTTAGCCTTAGACTTAGACTCAGACCTTACTCTTTTACCTTTCCGGACCCGGGGTTTGTGGTAAAAGGGAGTTGTAGGATTTCCCAGGTATGCGTAGAAAATTGCGAACCTATTTTCTTCCATTGTTGTAGAATTTTCTAGGACTTCCTCTTGTGTTTAGGTTCCCAGATTTCCCCAAAAATTGATTAATCTATTGTTAACCTAGTTGATTCTAGTGTTCCCGGCAAATGCCCTGGAATTTTCCTGGGAATGCTCTAGGCTTTGCTTAGATTTTGCGGTGGACGAGTTCCGGCCAGTGCCCGTGGTAACGTAAAAGGCTCTGGTAAGATTTTCGCATGCCTGTCAGGCGCCCGTGTCCGCGCCGTGTGGCGTGTTGATTCTAGGACGGAGCAGCGCAAACGGAAGCTTGGGCAGGTGGTGGCGAGGTTCTCGCGCCAGCGAGGGAAGAGACCGTAGCCATGTACATGCGGGCGGCGCGCGCGCGCGCGTGGCGGAATGTTTGCAGTGCGGTAGGCCGGGGGGGGGGGGGGGG